ATTTTGTATTTTGTATTTCAAATCGAAAGATTGAAAGTATTTTGTATTTTGTATTTCAAATTAAAAGATTGAAAGTATTTTATATTTTGTAATTCAAATACTAAGATTCCTAGTATTTTGTATTTTAAATACTTTAATGGTGTATTTTGCCCAGCCCTGTATATAATAAATGTGACAACGCTATGGCAAGCAGCTGCGCATTCGCTGTTCGCTATCTCTCGACAATAATTGTCCGCTAATATCGTTATTTAATGTTTTACGCACCCGTACATATAATACTGTAACGATCTGTTAATTTTTAACCGTTGCAAAATAATTTAACTTATCGGATTATTATAACTCCTTGTTATATTGAAAGTATACAATATAAATAAAATATTTATCGGTTAGTTACTTTATTTAGACGATTAATTAACTCAAAGTTAACTATTTTGAGAATCTCATATCATAGAGTGAATCTTTATATTCTCTTTAGTTATCTCTATCTTTAATTAATTAAATCTTATATGTTTTTGAGAAAAGGAGTGATGTACTTGGTGAGTATGTTATATGTTATAAAAGATACAATGATATTATATATTAATTATTTCAAGTATGCAAACGAACGATATAATGTTACATATATGTAGTTATATGAGATACATAATAATATATTAATGTTTGAATATATGTGTAAGGTAAAGTTATACATGTATGACTATATGATGTCATATAATAAAATAATAGTATGAGAAACATATATATATTAAACTCAACATCGGATATTTGCTTTAATAAATGTCTTTTCTTTCAAGTTTCTTTCTCCGGCTGCGGTGGGCCTTCCTCCATCGGATCGAATTCTTCGAAGTCTTTCTCTTGCCCCGTTGTCGCCAGTTGCCTCTGCAATTCTGCTGCTATGCCGTCCTCCGAAAGTGGTGAATAAGGCGCACGATAGCTCTCCTCTGAATTCGCTATCACCTCTTCACATGCGATATCCTCTGGCCAGCTGTAAACATTTCCTTCAGTCCTGCTGCTTCCTCAGGATGTTCCGATGCTGCCTCCTTTTCAATAGAAAAATTATCCGATGCAACTGCCGCTATACTAGCGGACAGTTGCAAACTCAGAATAGGTTGTGTCTAATGAAATCTTCGCGGAAGAGTTTGCAAACATAGCAACGATGCAGTGGGCGCAGCTTTGGGATCCTTTGTTCGCATATGCGACAGTATTCAAATCCTCCTGATCTTTAGATACCGAAGCGTAGGTAATGACGAGATATTAATTCTACCGATCCTTCTAGGTGGACCTGTCTAGGAATGCAGCTAGTGCAGAAAAGTTCGCCTGTCTCAACACGGTAAAAGAATGCCTTGCAACAAATAGCAGTACGGATCCAAATGTCAATAGCAATCGGGCGAGACTAATAATCAGGGTCGTCCTCAGAAGGCTCAATAGGGACAAGAAAATCGTGGAGATCCATCTTGGGAAAGGAGATACATGATTTGGATAACGTCTGGTGGAAGCGCTCTTAACTGCAAGGAAGTGTCAATGTAAAGGTAATTTCTAGATTTAGTTTGCAACAATATGCCAAGTTAATCCATTTATTGTTAAGTATTAATTTAAATTTCGCCTATTTGTTCGTAGTGAACTTCTCTAACACCGATGTTAATATCTTTACAAACTTCGTAGGGGCGTTCTGGCGGAAAATTGGCTAGAGATGTAGTCGCGAAAGACTCACTCAGGCAGGCGTCGCAGTCCGTAGCAGGGCGGACTCTCTGGATTATTTCATTGCAGTTCCTACACCGTTCATATTCTGGATTCAGCCCGACAGTAAGGGTGTGGCGAGCTGCGTCAACGAATAGCTCTCGACTCTGGGGCGTAAGACGTTCGTAGCAATAGTCACATAGAATAGCGCCGGTTTCCTTGTGTTTGGCAAAGTAGGATATGCAGCAGCGGGCTGATTCAGACAAAGGATGGGTCAGCTGAAGGATAGCCTTAACTCTGGGATGCCATTGGAGCCATCGATCAAGGGGATTGCTCAATTCGCGACTTGCCATAGTTTAGACACAGGGTACTTGAAGTATCTGTCGATTGAAAAGAACATGCTTGGTTAACAAATATTTCTTTGAAGGTAGACATAGTTGATAGCGGGTGCTGTATCGCATGCAAGGTTAAATGCTAAGGGAATGTTAATTATTTCTTTTATATTTCAGGTAACAGCAACGCTTGTGGCCGAGCGGAAAATCACGGGTATTACCTCAGCGGGTGAGTCGCTCCGGTATGTAATTCAGGCGGTAGCGAGGAAATTCGTTTAGGGTGATATGACAGCGCGGTAAATAAATAGATTCAATTTCTCAAATTACATGTATTTAAATTGCTGTAAAAAATAATTGTACGCCAACAGTAATAAACAATAGTGAGAGCATTATCATTGTAGTACGTTTAATCCATTAATCAAGACAAGAGGACGCATGAATTATATATGAATATCTAAGGATAATATAGATATAGTATCATTATCTGAAATTATATGCATGCGGATAGTATTATTAATTCTGCAATATTTCGTACTTCCTTGTAATATATTAAAATATAGTACAAAATATGGGCAACACAACTAATATTTAACTCTATGATTTTGAATTAGAGATTTGATGAAATGAATAATATGATATTATTAAATTAAAATTTAACTTCTGTAACGTAGTGCGATGATGAACATTATAAAGACGTATTATAGTAAGAGATTATAATATTATAATAAAAAGGAAGTGCAATGCTAATTAGTAATAATAAACTTGAAATATATGATGTAATATATGACGCAGTGAATTAGATAATAGAATAAAATATCGATAATCAATAATGGTAATAGGGAAATTGGTGACAATAAAGAATAGCATAGAATATATATATGTATACCAGAACAATATACAGGGTGGGCTATTTTAATCGATCCACCCAAATATCTCCTAAAGTAAGCGCTATACAACAAAATTGTTTAAACAAAAGTTTTCGGACTTCGAGGGGGACATAAGATGATAATATTGGTTTGACCCTGAGTGGCGTCGTCAAGGTCAGGACAAGGTCACTTTGAATTTTTTAAATAGAACCCCCAATTTTTCATTAAATGTTCTTATAGCACGCCTCGAGAA